AAAAGAAAGCAGAGAGCATGACTAGAGATGTGGGAACTCAAAGTACACCACCTGGTCTTATTTCTGGTAGTGTTAGCCCTTCTTCAACCCCTTCAATCTTAGAGAGAGCCTTGAAGGGATGCGAAACAGAAAATGGAGACTCTCCAAACTCTAACACAAAGTCAAAGGCTGAGGAACAGGTAAGCTCTTTCCTATGGAGGAATTTCATTCACATCTGCTGCTGTTAGACTTGTTTTAAGGCTGAGAAACATAATTTAACCTATCATTTTCAGATTTTCTGCTCTGCTCATATTATGGACATTGTTTGAGAATTTTGAAGCATCTACAACATGTTATAGCATCATCAATCCATGCAATTTTTCTGAATGTTCACTCCAAGTTTATTTCGTTTTACTTAATACTTTCATTTTCAATTTCCCCCTTTTGAGGTAAGTTTTAAAATTGAAGGACAAATTCATTCTAGTATTGGCACCCGTAGTCTTCAACAAAGTTATTGTAGAACATTAAATCAGAGCAAGATTCACTCAACCCGCTGCTTGCTTGCCCACCGTGAATTACAGGGTTTCAGATTTTGTGGTACTTACATAAGACTAGAAAAGCTGATATGTCCACGGGACGCAAGCCTTTCTGCTTCTAGGAGCCAAATTGTGTTGATAAAGCTCCTTGCTTTGTTCTTCCAAGGTGGGGAACTGTTGGATTATTTGTTCCCTCAGGCTTTTTTGGGCACATATAAGCACCCATAGGTCTAAGAAGTTATGCCCCAACTAGCCTGTTTTCCTGCACAAATAATTGAACTGTGTCCTTCCAAGGTGGGGGAACCAATATCTCAATTGGTCCCTCTAAGATTGGTAAGCACATGCGCTCCAAATGCATATACAGATACAAAATAAGTCTTAGAAGTTCTCTCGGCCAGCCTACTTTCCAGCACACACTGTTGGATTTGTCTCTGATTTTGCGCAGCAGTCTTTTCAGCGCACAGAAACAAGAATTGCAAAACGTTTTTGGGATTTTAAAACAGAAAGGCAAGAACAATCCAAAACCAAGTTTATCAAAACAATTCTCCTCCTTTTTTACTTGAATCATGCTAGTGTTTCTTTTTTTTTTTTTATTCTTCTCTTTGTTTTTATGTGGATCAACCAAAGATGCTTCTGTGCCAAACCTTCAAAGCCGATTCTCCACTTTTTTGTTCTTGCATTCTTTTGAGTCTCTGGGGCTTGCAATGACAATGGCATGTCATTGCCTTAGTCCTTTCGTCTTTTAGGAAAATCAGCCATATCTTTCAAGGCCCGTCAACAGAATACCAGATAAACAATTTGTTTATCATTGAACCTGTCCCCATTTAATCTTTCTACCATATTGTTGTCGTTACTTTATACATTAAATTTTGCTGAATATGATACGTCTAGAATCTAAAACCTGAACTATAATGAACCTGTATCTGTCCCTCATCATCATCTGCTGGAGCTAAGCTCTGAAATCAAGTTTTTGTCATTTAACCATGAAATGGTTTTGGTTCTTAATCTCTACCAGATTGAAGAAAACAATCGTTACAGTAAAGTCTCTGGTTGCTTGTGAACAAATGTGGTAGCGAAAATTGCATCCTACATATCATGTTAATGGAAATGGAACAGACACTGGTAGCTTTTCTTTTTTTTCTTTTCTTTAAATTTTCTGAACCAGAAACTTGATAATGCCATAATAGGCTGCATACCATCCAAACTTCACTTTGGAACCAAGGCTTGTGATTGAGATGGAGGCGTTCCTCCTGCAATATAAGTTGAAAATCGTGTATCCGTGGCATTTTATTGTACATCAATACGTCGAATAGATCAAAATCTTAAGCTCAAACAATTAGGTTCAATGGCTAGTACTCTATCATCAAAGATCTTTCAATTTGATTCCAAGAATTTGTTCGTCCAATTACAATAAAAGTAATTGAACAAGTATAGTATTTATTGAAACAACTGACATGACCGATGAGTGTTCTGCAAGCAACTATTTAATTATTTTTCCATGAAAATACTGAAATCCTTTTAGAGGTTTTAAGCAAAGTGATCACTTGTATTAGTCTAAGTTGGCAAAGTAAATTCATGGATGAACATATACACCAAGTATGATATTGATGTGAGAATTCAATGTTGAGTGCAGGTTGAAGTGAAAGAAACAAGAGAGAAAGAAGAAACAAAAATAGGTAAGGCAGAGAGGAGAAAAAAAGATGAAGAGATGTGCAGGTGCATCAGGCAACCTGGATGCTTATCATGGATGGAAAAAAGGCAGAGAGAGAAACACAAATCAACAAGGAAGAGTATCTTTTTTCCTCATTTTAAAGGCTGCTAAGGAATAAAGATGGCAAATAAAACAAAAAAAAAAAAAACATATTGGTTGGATTGTTGAGATTCTCCATCTCTCAATCAAAAGGGTTTGATCTCTATGGAAGGACAGATGGAATGCAAAGGTGAATATGAGGGCAAAAATCTATGATTAGACTGTGTTATAGTAGTTTGTTTTGCTTTGGAATTTTGTTGCAGTTATGCTATTTCTTGTTTCTTGTTTTTATATGGTTAAAATGGGTGACAGCTCTGTGTTCACGAACATGCTTTTGTTTGTGGCCTTGGAATGGAAATGTTCTTCCCTAAGACCTCAGATGCACACAATCATACACACAACTTATCCCTCCAGTTTTGATATTTCCACCCTTTCTCAGTGAAGTATCAATAATAATGTGTGGAATACATGCATGCAATCAACAATATTTACTCATTAATTCATCTAAGGAAAAGAAATATATTTTAATTATTCAACCAAAAAAATATTTAACTGCAAAAGCTTCTCCCTGGTTTGCCCTTGCAAATACTTGAGCCATGAATGGAAAAATCATTAAAATTAAAAATTAAAAAAAAAAAACCATGGCAGTTGCTTGTATTCATGACTGAGGCATAATTTTAAGGTTGCATCTGCTAGCCAGCCATCTTTGTGTTTCTACTCCAACATTTCTAAGTTGCATTGTCCCGTCAATCTAAACTCAGGCTTTTTAAGGGTAATTTTGACATGCCAATTCAAGATTGTAGGAGTTTGCTCACACCTTTTAAAAGCATGACGACAGACAGTAAATAACAAACAGGAAGGTCACCTTCACTATTCCCGAAAGATTATATTCAGATGGAAACACTATCATATATTATTATTTGCCGATGTTTATAAACTTTACGAGATAATGTTACAAATGATCCTAAATTATAATAAAATATTTAATATGATAATTAAATTTTAAAATTTTTTAATATGATATTTAAATTATAAATTTATTAATTAATGTAGTACTAAGAGGATTATTTATCTATTTTGTACTAAAAGGTTATTTATCTATCATGTGTTATCATTTAAATTAATCACGTTAAAAATAAGTAATATATTAGTTAACAAATAGGTTAAATATATATTTAGCTCCTGAATTTCATATTGTTTGTCACATTAGTACTTTAAATTTTTTTTTTATCATATTGGTACTTAAATTTTTAAATTTGTTATCACATTAATTAGTTGGACTAACATCATTAGCCAATTTTGCGGACATAACATCAACATCTAATAAAATGCTAACACATGTAAAAAAAAAGTCCAATTAACACCATATTATCAATGTGACATTAGCATAAAAAAATTCTAAAATTTTTTTTAAATTCTAAAAATTTTAAAAATTCAAAAAGATTTTAAAAACCTAAAAAAATTCAAAACAATTATAAAAATTTTTAAATATTCAAATTTTTTTTAAATTACTCAAAAATTTAAAAAAATTTTAAACAATTCTAAAATTTTTTTTAATTTTTTAAAATTTATATAAAATTAAAAATATAAAATATTTTTATAAATTATAAAATTGATCATAATTTGAAAGTTTTAAAAGATTGTGAAATTTTTTTTTTAATTTAAAAAAAAATTTCAAAAAAAATTAAATTTTCTTCAAGTTTAAAAAATCACAAAACTTAAAAACTGAAAATAAGAAAAAATCTAAAAACTTTTAAATTTTTTTGAAATATATAAAAAGTTGAAATTGTAAGATTAAAAAATATGAAAAATTTTTTGAATTTTTTAAAAATTTTAAAATTTTTTTAAAATATTATATTTTTTCAAAAAAAAATTTCTTTACTGTTTTTAAGCTTTTTTTATTAATTTCAACAAATTTTTAAATTTATGAAAATCATCATTTTTATTTTTATAAATTTATTTATTTTTAAAAAATTTAGAAAATTTTTGAAAATTTTCAAGTTTCCTTAATTCTTTTTTAATTTTCTAGTTTTTAAAACTTTTTTAAAATTTTTTTAGAAATTTTTAAAATTTTTAAAAGTTTTTATAATTTTGTAGACATTTTCAGAATTTTTTAATTTTTTAAAAATTGTAAAAGCTTTTAGAATTTTTTTTAAATTTTTCAGAATTTTCGAATTTTTTTGAATTTTATAAAATTTGTTTGTAACTATTTTAGAATTTTTGAAAGATTGTTAGGATTTTAAAAAAGTTTTCAAAATTTTTTAATTTTTTTCATTTGTTATAATTTTTAAAAAATTTTAGAACTTTTTTGAAATTTTTAAAATTTTTTAGATTTTTTTTTTGAATTTTTTAACTTCTGTTCAATTTTTCTAAAAATTTTTAAAACTTTTTAAGATTTTTCATAATTTTTAAAAAAAATTTCTAAATTTTTCTTTTAATAATAACATAAAATTGATGATGTGACACCAACTAAACTTTTTTTACACATGTTAACATCTTATTAAATATTCATACTATATTAATAAAATTAACTACCGATATTAGTCCAAAATATCAACATGATAATGAATTTAAAAGTTTAAATACCAATATGACAAAAATAATAAAATTTAAAAGTTAAATATGTATTTAACTTTTAATAAATTCGTAATTTAAATATCATATTAAAAATTTTTAAAATTCAAATATCATCATATAAAATATTTCACCATAGATATTAATAACATTAACCTTAATCTTTTTATTACACTCACCTCCAACATATTACTGGAAGTAGGGCTTTCTTCTTACCTGGCCAGTAGCTCGGATCATTACGTTGTCAGAGGAAATCTGGGTGACTATTTACAATTTCAAGAGCCTTATCCTAGATCAAAAGTTTCTTTAAAATTGCGTACTTACTTTAGTGTAAAAACAATTATAGTTTTCAAAGAAATTAGAAAAAACCATATCATACCAAAAAATACACCAATAAGAGAGTTGCCCCAAGTCAAGATGGTTAGAGATCCAAGCTCAAGATAAAGTTCACATGGCTACTTGTAGCAACTTCTGCAGATAAAACATCTCACATGTTCTCCCTGATCATATTACGTGCTAGCCACCATATCAAAGATCAGATTTAGTAATTAGTTCTAGCATATCAAAGATTTTTCCAACTATTTTGGATTTTAATTTATCTTCTTGAAATTCTATTGTTAATATAAAATGTATTGACACTGAACATATACATATACAAAAAAATTTCAGGAGTTAAAAAAAAGAAAAAAAAAAAAGGCAAACCAGAGAGCAGAGTTAGATGAAATCGTCATATACTTCACGAAGCTATGCATTGGACGTGGAATTTGAAATTAGTCGAACTTCATATAGGTTATTCTCTCCCTTCCCTGAGCCATATAGTTTATAAGCTAGGATCAAAATGAATTAATATATAATCAACTCTCTTATGGAGTAGGAAAGTGAAAAACTCACCTACTTCAGCTGTGATCCCAGGTCCAAAGAAAGAAGAAAATTTTGCCTAGAAGCCATCATTTTAACCAAAAGATCAGCAAATTGTTTCTGCTTTCTCAAAATTAAAGAATTATAGAATAATAAGGTGCTAAATAATAAAAACAGAGAAACTCGTAGATGTCTTCATGAAACTTAATTAAATATAGACTAGAACTCTCAATAAATTGGTTGAATTATACTTTGCCAAAGATGTGTTACTACGTTACCTGTCTCTTTTCAAAATCTGACAACTGCAAAGCTTTAGCCTCAAACACCAGGACTAGACAGTATTTACCATCTTCTGTGACCTAAGACATGGGGGCAAAATAAGATGGCAGGCTAATCAATGAAAACCCTCATCAAATTAAGACAAGCAGTCAAGTACTTTGTTCCAATGATCTCAAATATTATGTCAGATGAAAACAAAAACAGAAGATCAAACATCACTTTGAAATGGAAGATAACAAAATATTCTTTAGAAGTCACAGATATTGTTGTGTACATCATAGTGGAAAAATTAGCCACATTGAACGCATGCTATAGTTCTGAAACTAGAATATAACGTACTCTGCAAGTGTTCATGGAAGTTGTTAATGAAAGACATCAATAACATTTTCTATATGGTAGGCAATCAAAAAATTTCACATTTGAGATTAAACCCAGAGTAGAGAAGCATACTTCTTCCTGGATCATTTGTAGAATAGGTGCACTTCTCCGAGGAATCCCTCCAGCCTGAAATTTGATACAGAAAAAAGACTGACATCAAAAACTTTAAATTTAAATGTAATAAAACGTACAAGTTCAAGACAATACATAGCAATTTTTCCCAAAAATTTAGGTCTTTTGTTCCCTTATTCATGGGGGTTGATTATTGTTGGATTTGTTTTTTCGTTTTCTCCTTGTCCTTATGGATAGAGGGTGGAGAGTCAGGGGAGGACTTCTACAAGCAAGAATATCAGGATTAGAGCGATTAAACCCATCCCTTCCTCAAATGACTCATACCATGGCTTAGACAGGTTAATTCAAATGTACATGAAATTTAAAGTTTCCCAGAGCACTGGAGTGAGGCAAAAGATTTTTACTGATAGCACATATCTCCAACAAATGGGAGTTGTAAATTGCCAAGAATTGACATTTCAAGGCTCAACCAAAGATTTTAAACAATGCCAGATTAAGTGACATCAAATGAATTTCCTAAACATATACTCCATATTGGACCTTCAACTACTGTAGTAGCAACCAGCAGTACCAAGAACAAAAAATATTGACTATAAATTTGGATTGAAGGCTCACTGTAAACTAGAAATGCTCTTTTCAACTTAAAATATTAAATCTACAATAATTATTCCACATCTAGCTTAGGAGCTGTTTTCATCAATTCTACAAGTGTTCAGACTGGCTGCATTCACAATTTGATTTGAATCAGTATGGCATCAATTGAAATTGGTGATAATCTTTCATCCTGTCTTTATAAGTATCATTTCACATTGAAAAAGTTGTACATGATGCAGAGCAAAAGGCAAAAAAGAATAAACCAAGATGAGAACAGGGACCTGAAATATTGTGGGTTTAGTTCTCAAGAGCAGCCAAATCCCGCAAAAATGCAAAAGGATATAAATGTTTTATTAGATGCCTCTTAGTTTCATATTCCAGTGACAACAAGACTAGATACTGGTCTCACTGTTTTTTCTTTTCAAAGAGTTAATAATTGCAACATTCAACTTACAATTATTTCTGACTCATTCATACCCCTCAAGGTTGCTACTATCATCACAGCCCACAAATTTGCAGATATTGACATTGTAACAAGAATTGAATAGATATGAAAGCCATTGACTGAATTCTTAGTGAAGAGACTCTATGTAGTATTTTTTTTTTTTTTCAATCAAAGTTGCCAGAAATTTTGAATAATTTGATTATTTGCGCAAACATCATAGTACTTGCAAAAGAAACAGCCCATAGACTTATCTTCCCTTACATACAGGTCATAAAGAAATCATTCTTATTATATACAAAGCAGAGGTTTTGAATAATAAAAAATCTTGTGGTCAAAGAAGCATTGAATAATTAATTTGATTTAACAACATGTTTGATTGTCCAGATAATATATGAAAAGGAACATTTTTAAATTTTCTTTTTTATTTAAAACAATTGTTTTCTATAATGCTCTATTATTTATTCAAAAGTAAATGGAAAGCTGAAGCAAGAAGAAAGATGGCATCCTTGAGAGTTCATCAATTTAGTCAATACTCAATACTCAATACTTTAACTGTCAATAACAAAATTTTGGATTTAATATTTTGTCTTCTGAATCTGATGTCCACCAAAAGAGAAATATAAAAAGCACATCATCTAGGTAATACAGTTGCACCTTTGAAGACATACCTGACCATACTGGAAAATTCGCTTCAATGCCTCATCCAAGTGCTGTTCATCCCCATAACGGTATCTTGTAACATCATTCTTCACCTAATTAAAGCTACAAAAGTCATTCCGATATGATATATAAAATGAAAAGAGTACATCATGTACCTCATAATGATGTAGTAATTAAACATTTTAGTCTATCTGATGATGTTGCTCAGCACAAGGAAAATTATAAGTAACAGGTTAACAGATCCAAGTCAGGATTTTGAAGAATGTAAATTTCAACCTAAATACTTCATGAAATTAACCAAGTCCACAACGGCCTTCAGAGTCAAGGGGCTATTATAATTGAAATCCGACCCATAAGATGAGTGCTTCATCGGAATGCATTTGTGGGCTTTTAAAGGGATAAGGACTGAAATATGGAAGAATCTAACGTCAATTATCTTCATTAACTTGTAAATGAGTTTAAAATGCCAGAATGTTGAAAATACCTGCTTAAGGATAGGAGTGGCAGCAGTTTCCCTTAACATTTGAGCATCTGAATAGGTCAAGCATGGCACTGGTTTGAGTTCTGCATACTGTAATACAACCAAAAGTCTATACATTGTAACGAAAAGGTAAATAAAGGCGTAAAAAACAAAGAAATAATTACATTGATCCACTATTGCCGTTATGAAACTAAACTGCCTAATAATGAGCTTTCCAATCTACTAATTATAATCTTCACAACATCTTAGAAAAGGAGATCTTGTCTAAGCCAATATAAAATGCAGAACGATAAAAAAGAGTAAGATTATGACAAGAATAGAGCTTATCATTACTTGTAATAAAACTATTCAAATTAGTACAGCTGTTCATCTGAATTTTACGCTGCTAGGAAGATCTAATTCATAATCAATTTCTGCTTCTGAATGAGATTATGATGAAAATGTGCAAAACCCTTGCTCCAGCTTTAACCAACTTAAGCCAAGATGAAATTTAAAATCTTGTTTGCAAGTTAGACCTTCATAGTCTTAATTTCAGATAGCTCAAGCACAATACCTAATGAGGAATAATCAGACGAAATGTTTTCAAATATCCATCTCAATTCCTCTCCAAGGAAGAAAACTTTTACCTTGAGGGCCATTCCAATTATTGCAAGAGGGAAGCCATATGTCAGCAATATAGCCGACCATTCAGATCCAGGGAGAATGTTAAAATATGCCCCAAAACCATACCTGTAGGTTACACATTTTAAAGAGGTCTAAACCAAAATACACTAAAGAAAGAGGAAAGGTCAAAAGGTAATTCACTCACGAGAGAAGTGAAATTCCAACACCCAGTCCAATAACACCAAACGAAAGCTGCAAATAATAATGATTAAAATTAATAAGTCGACATATAATATAAAAAAGTTATACCAAGTTAAAGTTTAGATGGCGTCCAACAAAAAACCAACCATTTAGAGATAACGCCTTTCTTATATTTATATGGCCAAGATGCCCCAATTTAACTGATGTGGGATTTTATTTTATCACCACTTTAATAGAATGCATTATCAAACAGGGCCTGATCTCGTCTCATCATCTGGGGAACAGACATATTTTAGTAAGAGATTTGACTAAAGTGAAACTACAAAGCGTGAGTCACCGTATTGCTTATATCACAAGCTTTTCATAAGATAATTCTGCCACTTATGAATGAAGGCTTCCATCGTATAATACAATATATTGCTCTAACTAGTTTAAATCAGAACCAAGGTTGTGCCTTTCCCAAAAAGGGTACCTCTGCCATATTAGCCTTTTAACACATAGATTCTCATAAAATTTCTTATTGCAATATCGAGACACCTTCAAGGTAAACTGCATGAAGCCAAAGTTTTAAGAGCGTGGGAATGCTGACATCCAAAAGCTTTGTCAGGTTCTCAATTTTCATGAATGTTGAACTCAAATGGACTTATCCAAAAGTGTAGCTATCCGTATGAACCCGAAAGCTTGCCTTAAATTTGAGAAAGCTTAGATATGAATTTTAAATCAGTTAAACGAATTTAAGCTTGAATTTTAAGACCTGAGCCCAACCCAGCCCAACTCGAATAATTATTATATTTTTTTAATTATATTTATATTACATAAAAATAATTAGATAATTAAATAATATATATGTATATATTAATATCTTATACCAATCTATATGTCAATATATTTAATAATTTTTATTATACCAATCACATTCAAATACTTAATTAAATTAACAAAGTTTTCTTAGGCTTTATTTCATTGATTATTTATTTTACCATAGTTAATATTTATTATAAAAATAATTTTTATTTTTTTATTTGCAAAAAAAATAAAATATTGACGGGCTTAAGTAGAGTTTTTAAGAAGTAGATAGGGTCTGAGTACCAAAATGAGACCCATATTTCGCGCCAGGCCTAAGCAAACTTAAAGCTTGTCTATATCTTATCTATGCCCCGCCCGAATCCTGCTCGGCTGGACCATGGACAGGTCTAAACTCAACTAAAGTATAGATCCCATTTTACTCTCTTTACCTAATTGAACCCCATGAAAAGAAAATGAGTCAGTGACAACCTATTTAAATTTTCAGCCAGAGTAGAGGAAGAGGGGAAAAGAAAATACCTTTACCAACTTTAACAGATAGCATTTGAATGATTAGGAAAAATTAGGCAGTTCCAAATGCTTATAAGGCTGAAAAAAATAAAAATCCAGACCCCAAGTGATGTCAATACTTGAATTTCCCAAACAAATTATTGGATTTTAAGTAATGGTTCAACAAATTAGAAATTCAAATATTCAATATCTCCAATCCAAACCCTTTGTTCCAAATTTACCAATATAAAAAACCAAATCAAGCTACTTCAACTAAATCATCCAACTTGTTCAAAAACATGAAAACAAAATACCCATTTTTATTTTTTATAAAAGCATGAATAATTAATTACCTTTGAGAATGAGAAGCCATCATCAGTAACGATGGTTTTGGCAGCAGCACCAGCAGAAGAAGAAGAAGGCTGAGAGGCTGAATCAGCTGCTTTTGTTATGAAGGTTAGCTTCAGACTATGGGGATTGGGAATGGATCCTGTGAGGTGCTGCTGCTGGTGACGTCGAGGTGGCAAAGATAAAAACCAACGGTGATGATTAATGCTATGGTGATGCGAATGAATGAGTATAGCCGTTGATGCTGGTGATATTGCTTTCATTGCTTTCTAAGATTTCTGGTTTTCTTTGATTTACTTGCTTCAGTTCAGTGTTTCTTTCTTCTTCTTCTTATTGCTTCGGATTTTGAGTGCATGTATATCATTTGGTTGGAACTTGGCACAAATGAGAGGCGGTTGTTCCTTACTGTCTCAGCTTCAAGTTTCAACCACCAAATGCCCTTTCATTACGTGTCACTCTTGTTTTCTCTTCTTTTTTTTTTTTTACTTCTTTTTAATTTTTATTTTAATTTTTCATATATTTTAATCAATTTCAAAATCATTTTATTTTTATCCGGTGCTAAATAATCTATATCTATAATATATCCGTAATTTTTAATTTATAATCTTATGTAAATGCACGAATCTAAATTTTTTTTTTTGAATGACGAAAATATATATACGTTATTATATTTTTAAAATTTCATTTCCATTTTATATTATTTTTAATTTAATATTTATAAATATTAATATTATAACCAATTAACAATTCTACTAGATGTTAGTTCTAATTATTTAATTTCTAATTTGATTCATATATTAATATTAATAGGAATTTAAAACAACGTTATAATCTTAATTAGTTTTATTAATTACTTAGTTTTTGTTATCGATTCAATTGTGCTTATTATTAGAAGTGTCATTATCAATTTTATTATATACTTAATACTTTTGTGCTTTTTTAATGATTCTTTTTTCTTCTGTTTAAATTTTTAATGTTTTAATTCTTGAATTTAGTATTGTTTGTTCATTTATATGATAATAATGATTCATGTTTCAAATTGTTCCAAAATATTGCATAGTAATAATTTTTTTTTTTTTGCAAGTTACATATTTTTAAGTAAATAACAATGAGCAACGTTGATTAAGTTATTAGTAATAAAGATTGAGAGCAAGGCTAGTTAAGTTATATAATGATAAAGGTTGAAGATAAATGATACTTGAATTTTGTGTGAGTATTGTTTTTGACATACTTATATAACTCTATATATCACAATATTATAAAAGTGAGTTGAGTTAATTGGTGAAATTCTTTGGCAGCGTTCATTGTCAAGCGTGTTCAACTTGACAACTTTCCAATAAAAATATTTTCTACCTAATAATCACTTTTTCACATTAGTTTTTTTTTTCCCTATGAAATCAATTTTTATCTAAAAGTTAAAAATAAATAGATAAATATCCTTCTGAAATTTTTTTATTAGTTATTTTTTAATCGAAAATTTCTGTTGATTAGATGATTTTACTCCTCAGTTATTTTATTGATTTTAAGTAATTAAGTTTTAATTGAATTCAGACACCATTATTCTAATTGATCTTTGAAATAGAGTTGCAATCTTATTATATTAGCTTAAATATAAAAAATTCTTTAACAAAAATTAAATAATTATCAAAAATTTTATTATTTTATTATAATCAATTAAATTTTTAAGCATTTATTTTTATCAAATTAAGTAGTTAATTATCTATTTTTATCAAATTAAACTCTTAAATATTTTTTTTTTTTACATTAAGAGAATAAAGTCTTAATACAAATAAAGGAGAAGGAGAATGTCAGATTCAAAATCAGACTCTTGATGTTCCCTTAAGTGTCTTTAACTATTAGGCTAAAAGCTTAGAGATAATTGAACTTTCAATTGAATGAAAACGTGTGTTTGTAGTTAATCACTTTTCGTCTAATAAAGATTTAATTAATAAAAATAAATATTTATGAATTTAATTAATTATAATAAAATAATAAAAATTTATAAAATTATTTAATTTTAATTTAAGGACCTTTTTATATTTTTGCTTATTATACTTCTACCTTATAATTGTGTTATCATTCTTATATAGCCACTTTCAATTATAGTCTTTGACGTCATTTTATATCATCTTTTGTCATTTTTTTAAAATTATAATTTGAAAATCAAGTTGTTGTGGTAAATAACTAGATCAACTTCATTTTTAATTTATAATCAATAAATTTTAAATGGGACAATACCTCCTTAGACTCTTGAATTATTAAAATTTTTTAATGTGATATTTAATTTTAAAAAAATTTTAATTAAGTATTTAAACTTCATTTTCGTATATTAAATTGTCTCAATCCCTTAACATCATTAAAATAATATTGATATAACATTTAAATATTAATGTGAGTAATTGTGATTGCTATATGACAATAATGTGATTATCATATATCTTTTTTAGATAATAAAAAATAAAAAAAATTTCTTCAAAATTTTATTTTTAAAAGCTTTTTTTATTTTTTAAAAATAATTTATGATAGTTATATGTCACTCACGTCAACATTTAAATGTCACATCAATATTATTCTAATGATATTAAGAGATTAAGATAATTTAATATATAAAAATAAAATTTAGGTATTTGATTAAAAAATTTTTATTTAATATCATATTAAAAAAAATTTTTTAATAGTTTAAGGGCCAAATAGTATTATCCCTTTTTTAAATTAATGAGTGTTTCAGCATCATAGGTGTGGTAAAATTACTCAAAAAAGGTTATATAATTTTTTCATAATGAATTTTTTAACATATATTTCCTTACTATTTCACTTTAGTATCTTATTATTATGATAAAATTATTTTTCTAAAAATAGATGCAGTTTCAATGTATTATATATTATATAAAATACATTAGTAATGCATTCACGTGTAATATACGTTAACATATACTAATTTCTTTTAAGAGCCTAATTTTAATAAAATATATATGCCTTAAGGGTTTTTTTTTTTTCAATAAAAAGAAAGAGAAGGGTTTAAATATTATTTTTACTAGAACTTGAAAATCTCTCACCCTCATTTCCAAATTTACTAATTTTTAAAAGTATAAATTAATAAATTTTAAAAATAATCATTTTATATTTTAAATAATTTTAAAAATGATGTCTATTTTAAATTTTTTTCCTCCCACTCTTTTGTAGGTTGCTTTTATTTTAAATAAATTAATTTTTGTCAACAATGATGTAATTTATTACTAGATTATAAAATTAGGGTTCAATTCTTGAAACTTTAAGTATCAAAAAATATAAATTTAGATTTTACTCCCAAAACTAAATTTTTGCACTTGAACTATTTTGAACACTGTAAAGATTACTTGTGTGGAAGATGATTACATAACAAAATATTGATCTTGCAGCTTGTACATTATTTTCATTATTTAAATTGAATTTATGTAGAAAAATAATGTGCATATTTTAGTAAGAACGTAATTATTTGTCTAAGAGAAAAAGAGAAATTGGATGACATCATAAAAGCCAATGTCTCTTTAATGAGCAAGAGCCCAAAGTTAGAGATGCATTTCAGCATTGCTTGTATCTTATAGCCTACTAAAATTGGCACAAGAAAAACGTTGAATGTGCTATACCTTTTTGAGCAACATACATAAGAGTTTAGTCAGCATGTTTAAGCAGTATAAGGCAGCTTATTAGATGTGGCAAACCTTTAATAAAAACTTTGAAAACTTGTGGCATTTTGAATTGGCATATAAACGTCGGAAGTATGCAAAATCCAATGGCATTGTTGATGTTGTGTACAGTTTTAGCAAGGCATCTAAGCTTAAGTAAAAGGCAAACATGATGGCTAGTAGAATAAAGCCAAGCTTGTAGGATTTAGCCTCATGCTCAAGTAAGCATCAAAATAGCAAAAACACAGCAATAATAATAATAATAATAATAATAATAATAATAATAAACAAAGAAGAAATCGAATTTTCCTAAGATAATACTTGTGTTTTTGCCTTGTGATTAAATCAAGATTAACAAACATAAGCTTGGGATTCATACAAATACTCTAAGGTATCGTGACCTAGAGTTTAAAAAGCCTTTTAGTTCCTCTAAACACGAAAGCAAACTCAAGACTATAGTAACCCAAATGTTTAACCTTTGACGGTATCTACACAGTAACTCTTGCTTAAACCTTATACAATAAAGGATCAACAACTCGTGCTAGGAAGTTTTATCTTTGTTTCTTAAATAAGGAAGCCAATCTCTATGGTTGAATGCCTCAAGGAATCAAAAAGAGGAAAAAAATAATTTCTTGGTGTAATATGGATTTGTAGCTAAACCTTGACAAAAATCTCATTTGTCTCAAACATTGAACCTAATTTGCTATAGCGATGTTGATTATGAATGACTTAGATAAGTACAATTCAACTTCAAGAAATGCAATTTTTGCTCAATGGTGGTGCTATCTATTGAAGCAACAAAAGACAGTCTTACTTTGCTTTATCCACTGTGAAGGTAAAATTTATAACTTGCTCAATGATTGCATAAGAAGCTGTTTGGTTGCGGTGATTCTTTTTAAAATCTTCATGTAACAAGTTACACCTTAAATCTAGTGATAGTTCATGATGATAGTATGGCTACACTTGTTTTTATAAAGGATCCCAAATATCATATAGGACCAAACACATAGATATGTGAAATAGCATCATGAGAGATTTAATTGCACAAAAAAAATGATTTAATTATGTTAAATATTTACGATATTAATAATATTCATGCATTTTATTCTATTATTAAAGCATTATTATTATTTATTAATTAGCACACAAGATAAAAAAAAAGGTATGTCAACAGGCTTAAGATTGGCTTACTCACACAAGTAATCACCTTTGACACCTTTGATGCCGAGCAAAGATGAAACTTAAACTATCATCAATTTAGGTAGTAGGCTAAATCTAAATATCTCCCTTTGGTTGGAACCAAAATGAGGTCCACATAATAGATAAATATAAAGGACTGATAATGGATTAGCCCACAATTCAAGTAGCCTATAAAGTTAGCCAGATGTTTAACCTAATTTGGCGCTTAGAATTGCAAGCAAATGGGTAACTAAAATTAAGCACTTTAAGAGTGATTGAAGTAAGGTTTGCATGGTGTTTGCAATTTAATGTAGGCTCTTAGAGATACTCTATCATAGCATATATTTTATATTACATGTTTTTTACGATCAATATAGGAGGTGAAAAATTTGATCCATGTTTCTTCACCCTATGGGTCTTAAAAAGGTTAACAAAACATCCACGGTGCCATTTGTAACTTTAACTATTTCATCAAAGAATGAACGTTTACTACTATGTATGTTGCTTTAAAACTATGGATGATTCTATTATACGGGACATTAATGGAAAAATAATATGTCCTAAACTAAGT